GTATTTTGTGGGGTTCTTTTTTTTAATTAATTAATTTATTTATTATGTATACAATATTCTGTCTGTATGTATGTCTGCAGGCCAGAAGAGGGCACCAGATCTCATTACAGATGGTTGTGAGCCACCATGTGGTTGCTGGGATTGAATTCAGGACCCTTGGAAAAGCAGCCAGTGCTCTTGACCTCTGAACCATCTCTCCAGCCCACCTTTGTCCTTTTGAAAGAAAGCTGATACTTGGTGGGCCACGGTCCTCTGAGTATGACAGCCATTGCCACCTTAGAGTGGTTGTGACCATATCTACAGGAAACCCCAGTGAGGTCAGGCCTGCTTCCCTCCCAGCTGCTTGGGAGATACTGGTGCATGGGGGGTGAAAGGCTGAGGGATGCTGCATCCATGCGGCAGGAGATACTGGTGCATAGGGGATGGAAGGCTAACTGAGGGGTGCTCCATCCATGCGGCAGGACATCACCACCTGTGCTGGTGGGGTTCTCAGCGTTGTCCCTGTCTTAAGGTCACCCACACTCCTGTGAGTTAGCGCACCAAAGCCGTGGGCTCGTGCCCATCAGTCCCAGTTCACTCACATGTAGTCAGGGCAAGGCCCACACCAGCTTTCTGTGCACCTGCTCATCTCCTGCCCTTCCGGCCTCCTTGGTGCCTGGCTTGCACCTGTGACGTGGTAACCTATGTGGAGCTGGCAATATTTTAGATATGCTGGGATAAGTAAAGTACATCAGGACATCAGGGAGGCTGGTGTTCAGGAAGGTCAGAGTAGCCGTGGGCTGTGACGTGACTGGGCCCAGATTTGTGGGACGGGCACTAAATCCCGCTGGGATGGAGAGGGAAGTGGGAACACGCACTGAGTTGGCCATTGCTGTGGGGTTGTCCTGGGGAATGCACTGAATTGGCCATTGCTGTGGGGTTGTCCTGGGGAATGCACTGAGTTGGCCATTGCTGTGGGGTTCTCCTGGGGAATGCTGGTGCTGCAAATGTTGGCTAGGAATGTGGCACAGCCTTCTATTTCAGAGCTTCCTCCTCCATAGCTTGAGAACGGGGTTGCACATGGGTACCGTCAGGCCTGACTAAAAATGAGTAAGTCAAAAAAAATCAAAACAGGAAGTAGAAGTCACCATCCTCTTGCCTCAGCCTTTCAAGTGTTGGGGTCACCTGCTGCTATATGGGCACAGGGGTGGCGTTTACAAAGCTCCGCCTCTACCTCCAAGGCTTCCCTCCTCTGCTGTCTGATGTAAGGGAAGATGCCAGCTCTCCCTGCCTTGTTTGCTGTTCTAGGTTACCAGCTTGGCAAGCCGGTCCGAGCCCTGCATACCGATGGGATGAATGTCACTGCGTTGCACCTCTGGCAGCCAGGTGATGTGCTTTGCCATGGCGATTTGCCCCTGGCAAACAGGCGCTAGAAAATCTGCTGCTCTTTTGGCCTGTGGCATCGGGGGTGGGGGGGGCTGCTTTTTGTGTCTCTGTGGCTTCCTGCCCCCACCCCCAAGGTTGTCTAGCATGTTGTACCTATGTGCTGGGTATTCAAAGAGCCGTTCAGGCGTGACTGGGCTCTCTGTGGCCAGCATGCTGCTCCTCGGAGAGAGAATAGGTCCCTCTGAACGGTGGGTACCCAGTGCTGCAGTAGGAGATGCCCACACATGTCAGAAGCGGCGATGTCCCGTTACCAAGGAGCCACTGAACTTGGTCCAGGAACTCTCACACAGAATAGTGTCTATGTTTGGCTTTGAAAGGATCAGAAGGATTAGAATAGTGGTTCTCAACCTTCCTAATACTGTGACCCTGTAATACAGTTCCTCATGTCATGGTGACCCTCAAGCACAAAATTATTTTCTTTGCTATCTTAGAGCTGTAATTTTGCTTCTGTTATGAATCATAAAGTAAGCATCTGATATGGGACCCCCAAAGGGCTTATGACCCACAGGTTGAAGACGACCAGATCAGAGTAATGAAATGACCCAGTTTGCAGAAACGGAAACATTTTGTTTTACTTTCCATTACTGGTTTTGTATTGTTTAGCCAGCTGTGCTGGACATTCCTGCTATCCCAGCACTTAAGATGTGGAGGCAGGAGGACCAGGAGGTCAGGGTCATCCTCAGCTTCATCATCAGCCCAAGGCCAGACTGGGCTGTGTGAGACCCTGTCTCAAAAAAGATGAAAATTAACACTTTTTGTTTGTTTGATTGAAAAGGGTCATTTTATGTTGCTCAGGCTGGCCTTGAACCGCCAAACTCCTGCCTCCACCTCCTGAGTAAGCTGAGAGGGCTTTCAGGAAGCACCTGGAAGTAAATCTTTGTCCTTTAGCAGAACAGTGAGAGCTCATCCTTCTGTTGCAGCTGGAAGGGGCTTGTGCACATCAGCCACTCTCAGACCCGTTTTATTTGGAGAGAATGTGCTTGCCGGCTGCCTTTTGGAGGTTGGGATTAATGAGAACTGTACGCAGCTCCGGTGAGTCTCATGTTGGTTGGTTTATGTGAAGAGGGGTCTCATAACCAAGGATGGCCTTGAACTCTCAGGACTGGCTCAGCGAGTTTCATTCATTAATTTTCCTGCATTTTGAGTGGTTTCCTTAAAATTAATTTATCATGTGAATGTTAAAGATTGAAGCATGCATGCGCGCGTGCGCGCGCACACACACACACATACACACACACACACACACACACACACACACGCAGAGAGAACTTGCACATCAACACAGGCAAGCAGACCTGGGGATGAGAACCATTCGTGCTTAAACAAGGCTTCTGGTGTGGGAGCCTTCTCTGAAAACTGGATGAAGGGCCAGGGCCATCTGTAGTTTTAACTGCATGATTAGTGTTTGGAAAATGTTTGTGCACATGTGTGTATTTAACATTTGTCCATGAAATTATTGAGTGTGTGAGATGGGTATGAGTACAGGTGCATGCATGTGTATGTCTTGTGTGTGCGCGTAGGTTGGGGAGCACCTTTCTCCAGCACTGATTCTAGGTGTGGAACACAGGTCATCAGTGTTGGTGGCACTTGCTCTTACCCCTGAGCCATCTTGCTAACCCTGACTTTTTTCATGGCAGTAAAATTCCTATGATGTTATTAACCTTCGTGAAGCACTGATTGAGCCAGGCACAGTTGCTCAGCCATCGTTGCTCTTGAGAGGCTGAGGCAGGGTTGTTGTTAGGGGTATCTTGGGCTGCATATAACACCCGGTCTCAACATAGAATCAAACAAAGAGGGTCTGTCTGTCGCAATGGTTCAGCAGGTAAAGGCATTTGCTACTAAGGGACCTGAATTCAAGACCAGGACCTGTGGTGGAAGAAAACTGACTCCCTTAAGTTGTCTGACCCCCAAATATGCCACGGCACATGCATGCACATGTACACAAATGTTTAAAAGACTAAAGTCAAGCAAAAAAGTTGAATATCTACAGGCCTTTCATGATCATATGAAAGGGTCTATCTTGTTCTAAAATATTTTCATCACCAGAAATGGGAATCTGTCTGTATAAATAATAAATAGTTACCCCCCCATCTTCTCCCCAAAGCCTCAGGTACCACGCACCCTGCTTTCTGCCTCTGTGCTTTGCCTGTTGGGTGTTCAAATGGAATCACACCCACTCTGCCGTTCTTCCATGTCGCAGCATGTACTGGAACTCCCTCCGTTCCTATGGTGACCTGTAGACTGACTGTCTTTGTGTGTCTGTACATACCACACCTTGTTCATCCCCCTGGGTTGTTGGACATCTGCGTCTTCCACTCTTTGGCTGCGTTCATGGCTGCGAACAGGCCTATATAGTTTTTCTTTGAATTGCTTACTGTTCTTTTTTCTTTTTCTTTTTTCTTTTTGGTTTCTCAAGACAGGGTTTCTTTATATAGGAACTACCTTTGTAGACCAGGCTGGCCTCGAACTCACAAAGATATGCCTGTTGCTGCTTCCCAACTGCTGGGTCAAAGGTGTGCACCACCACCTGGTAGGCACTTCCTGTTCTTTTAGTCTGTGCCTGGGAACTGAAGTGCCAGGTCGTCTGGCAATGCCCTGTCTGCAGTGCCTGGTTTTTCTACAGTGGTGGCGTCTTGCCACTCGCACGGCAGAGTAGGACAGCCCCAGTGTTCCCAATCTTCCCAGCACTCACTGTTTTCCTTGTTTCTTATTACATTTTTGTTGTTTTACATTTATCTTTGTTTTGTTCAAGGATGGGCGAGCACACATATGCTTCCCATGTGGAGGTCAGAAGACAACTCTTGGGGCCCAGTGCTCTCTCTGGCCACGCTGTAGGGCCTAAGAATCCAGCTCAGGTCTTTAGGCCTGCTACATGCTCCTCCACCCACTGAGCCACCTCACTGGCCCCTCCCCTCCCAGCACGGTCTCCACTTTAAGATTTATTTGTTTTTATGGTTTAAAAGTTTGTATTGTTTGTATGCCTATGTATCATGTGCAGGCAGTGCCTGCAGTGACCAGTTGAGGCTGCCAGATGCCCTGGAACTGGGGGTACGGATGGTTGTGAGCTACCAAGTAGGTGCTGAGAATTGAACCTGGGGCTTCTAGAAGAGCAGCAAGTATTCTTTCTTTGTTTGTTTGTTTCTTTCTTTCTTTTCCTTCCTTCCTTTTTTTTTTTTTTTGAGATTGGGTTCTCTGTGAGCCCTGACTATCCTAGAACTTGCTCTGTAGACCAGGCTGACCTCAGGGATCCACCTGCCTCTGCCTCCTGAGCGCTGGGATTAAAAGCGTGTGCCATCACTGTCCAGTTTGAGCAACAAATGTTCTTAATTGCTGAGCCATCTCTCCAGTTTACACCCACACCTGTATATACCCTGTTTATACCCTGCATATACCTTGTTTTTATTTATTATTGTTATTATTATTATTGGTTTTTCAGTACAGGGCTTCTCTGTAGCTTTGGTGCCTGTCCTAGAACTTGCTCTGTAGACCAGGCTGGCCTTGAACTCACAGAGATCCGCCTGCCTCTGCCTCCTGAGCCTTAGGATTAAAGGTGTGAGCCACCACTGCCAGGCTGCACTGTGTTTTTAATGTCAGTCCCTCCAGCAGATTTTCATCTGGGCTCCCAGCGAAGGCGAAGTTCCAGTCTTGGGAAGGGCTTGAGGACAAGCCCCGCTGGTCACCGGCTGAGAAGTGTAGTCTTCTTCTCATGCAGGGAGAACGTCCTCCAGAGGCTGGATTTGCTGATACAAGCAACTCACGTCGCGAGGAGAGGCAACTCAGATTACAACGATCTGCGTGATGGCTGGCTGGAGATCATACGTGAGTTTTAGTGGCCACGCACAGGGGCTTATGGCTATTGAGCCTGTGGTTGCCAGCCGTGGCCCAAGAGCCTGGCGTATTTGGCTAGGACTCTCTGCTGCAGGCAGGAAGCTTTTCACAGCTGTCTCATGGCTTTCCCAGGCAGCCCCTGCGGACTTCCTCTTGCTGAGAGTCCGGGCTTGAAGATCTTTAGGGCACGTCAGTTTGCACTGCTGCTTTGAGCTCCCAAGAATATTCGCACCGAGAGCTAACTTGGTAGTGTATAGAAATCACTTTGTTACCGAGTTTGAAAGTGTGGTGCTGAGTGAAGGAAGCCCAGACACAGACCTCCCAGATGTGTAAAAATCCCATTTGTGGGTGCTAGGAAGTGGCGAGGTACTGCTGTGATCTGGAGAGTTCTGTGCAAGCTGATCTGAAAGGGAACCAGGCTGAGATGTGTACAGGGCCCTGGGTCTGAGCCCCAGCAACCACTTCTTCCCAGATCCAAAACCAGTCTGAAAAATCACTCACCTCTGAGCTGTTCACTTTGAAGGGAACTGGGTAGAGACTGGGGTGTGGCTCTAAGGACGGGTGCTGGTCTAGCTTGGTGGTGTTATTACAGTGCCTCCAGCCAGGAACAGGAGGAACCAGAGATGCTAGGATGAGTTCTAAATATCCTTTTTTATGTGACTTCTGAGAGGGTGGTGACTATTTAGGATAATTTTGTGACTTTACTGCGGTCCCTCGTGTTCCTCTCAGAATACTCTGTGGCTTTTGGGGACAAGCTTAGACTCTGAATCTCTCATCTCTTTCTCTCTCTCTCTGGTTTTCAAGACAGGGTGTCTATAACAATCCTGACTGTCCTGGAACTAGCTTTGTAGACCAGGCTGGCCTTGAACTTAGAGATCCACCTGTCTCTGCTTCCTGAATGTTGGGATTAAAGACTTGCACCATCATTGCCTGGCCTTTTTCTCTTTTTTAAGAAAATATTTTATTTATGTGACTATGTGTCTCTGTGGAAGATTATGCCATACAAGTTCTGGTGTCCTTGGAGGCAGGAGAGGGCATCAGATCCTCTGGAGTTGAAGTTATAGGTGGTTGTGAGCTGGGAACTGACCCTGGGTCCTCCACAAGAGCAGCCAGTGCTCCTAAATGCTGAGACATCTCTGCAGCTCCAGACACTGAATCTTTATGTTTAGTTTTATTATGTGGGCTGAGACCTCATTCATCTTGCAGGGAAGCATTTAGCTGCCACTCAGGTGAGTAGTACCTGCTTCTGCCTGGTGGACATGAGGTCACATAGTTATGGGGTGACAATGTTAGAGCTTGCTAGAGGACTGGGAGCCAGACCATGTCACCTTCCATTCCTTAGTGTGTCATGTGTGACACTATAGGACAGCTGCTTTTAACAGGTGTCTTGACATTCCTGCAGGTGTTGACGCCCCTGAGACAGTTGCTGACCTGCCCCTGAGCAGCGCAAATGGCATCTGCCCAGAAATTCCTGCCCAGCTCACCATCCGCATCCTCATTGCCGAAGCTGGTTCTGTGGAAGGGGTGGCTCAGCACGAGATCCTCGGCGTGGAGACGAGGTGTGTGTGGTCTCCTCCCTGCACTGCCAAGGTCAAGAGCAGGACAAAGACTAGGGAATCTGCACACTTGCAAATGGGGATTGTTAGGGATCTGGCTGTGTGAGTGGAAGGCGCCAATACTGTATTTGAGACTGAAGCTACTCTCAGGATTGTTGGAAGGCTCTGAGAGCTGCTGCTGCAGAGTCCAGAGGGCTAGGGCTAGCAAGGGGCTGTGCAGTGCTGCGTGTACAACTCTGTGAGCCTGGGTGGCGTGCTGGCAGCAGAATGTGGCCGTTGGCTGGAGGCTTTGCCATGTGTGGCTTTAGATAGTTTGATATGTAGTTGCCTCATCTGAGAGATGATGACAGCCGAGTGTTGCGTTTCTCCCTCAGGTGACAGGTTCCACCTAACAAAGTGATGCGTGCCGCTTAGTTGGGAAGAGTCCCCATGCTGCAAGCTCAGAGAGGGTCTCTTCCCTTTTACCTCCAGCTCCCCTTGCCCTGGGACTGCCTTCACTGGCAGGGACGTCCTCCTCAGTCCTGCAGGGTCAGCACCAGCTCAGCCTTGCCTGGGCTTACTAAAGAGAGGCCACCTTGTCAAGAGACATCTGGGCAGACTTACATTTGTCCAGCTGGGTCACGTGTTCCTGTCGGAGCCATTTGCCATGGCCAGGACCATCAATAGCCCTGGCAGGCAGGCTCTGGATTCAGGCTGCTGTCTTTTGATCTATTGAACAGAGAGTGGGGAGTGATGTGTGCCCCACCCCTAAGGGAAGTTGGGTAACAGTTACCAGAACAGGAGAAGGGATGCCTAGTCCCCATCAGAGCTAGAGCTACTTCAGAGTGTTGGGGTAAGCCAGTGGCTCTCTTCCTAGGCAAGGCTTCACCCAGCCCTACAGTACTGTTTCAAGGAGTCTTCGCCATAATATGTAAAAAGCGCCTTAGTTCTGTGCTGCGGGCATGGAATGCCCTTGATAAATGACCAGCTGCTAATAGATTGTTGGAGACAAGCCATCTTTGCTAAGAGAACCTGGTGATGTAGGTACAGGGACCTGCAGATTCTCTCTTTGTGTCTAGACTTGAGAAATGGATGTGACTCTTGGATTCCCTGGGGTCCTGAGTCAGACTTCTGATGAATGGTGGCCACTCTGCCTTACAGTCTCCCCGTTCTAGGGTCTCCACGGTGACCTGGCAGTACCAGTGTGGGCTCACCTGTGAGGACACGGCCGCTCTTCTCTCTCTCAGTGCTTCCGTTCAGTTCATTAAAATCCCTGCGCAGATGCCCCGCCCTCCAACGAGGTGAGCCAATGGCTGACAGGCTAGCAGGTTCCTTCCTGCCTCTCACTGGTTCTCCACAAACCTTCTCATGTGTTTTTATAGATTCCAGATCAACTTCACAGACTATGACTGTACCCGGAATGAGCTGTGTTGGCCTCAACTTCTGTACCCTCTGACCCAATATTACCAAGGTAGGGAAGGCAGGTTCCGCTTGTTGTCAGAATGTCATGCCAATTAAAACAGCTGAGTCGATGTGTAGAGGTCGTGGGCAAACCGCACAGACAGACTTAAAAGAAGAAACTGTGCCACAGCTGACGTTTTATCAGCTATTAATGCTTATCACTAATAATCACTAAATAGTTACCCTCAAAGTCAAGATAGGATACAGCTCAGTTGTTGTGGGGATGGGGTAGAGCCCCTGCCAGTGTCATGGCAGGCAGGGAAACAAACCTCAAAGAGATGAAAATGAAAACTCAGTTCAGCCCAGCTGGATCAAACACTGGGGTCTGATCCCAGGGGGTTTATTGCCAGTAAACACAATAGGATTTGGAGAAAGTTTCCTGTGTAATACAATTCCCAGTTCACAAGGAGGCGTAAGTACACTGCAACTCAATTCAAAGTACATGTCCTTTCTTCCAAGATAGGAAGGGACTGCTACCTGTTCTAGCTGAAGGGCCTAGGGAAGGACCTGGTGTGTCTGGGTCATACAAACGGTATATTGCACTATCCGCCTCTGTCCTGTTTGGGGGAGGGGAGCTCAGGGGAGCCCTTGGCTATATAGATAATATAAGGGTCATTTAGACTATCAGCCACCTCTGGTCCTGGTTGGGGGAGCTTGATATGGTCTGGCCCTACAATAATATAGATCATAATGTAGACCACCAGGCTGCTCATCACCCCCTTTCCTCTGAGAGGACAATCCTGCATGCTTAACATTCCTGCTTTCCCTGGTGGTATGTGGGTGCAAGGACCTTTGTGATTCCAAAAAGTTGTCTTTTGCTGTCTTCCAGGGGAGCCCCGTTCCCAGTGTGTCGCCAAAGGCCTAATGCTGCTGTCGCTCCTCCTGTTGGCCACACTCATCAGCCATCCTTGGATGAGACTGTGCAGAGGCTGGTGCTCGGCTCCCATCCCCCACTGACTTTGCTCGAGAACTCAGAGCGCACTCAGTGGCTCCCTGTAGGCCTGTGTGCCTCTCTGAAACCGTTTGAGATAGGGTCTCACTATGTAGCCCAGGCTGGCCTCTAAGTACACTGGGATCTTCCTGCCTCTGCCTCCAGAGTGCTGGGACTGAAGGTGGGCACCATCGTGCCTAGCCTCCCTGAAACATTTTAATAAACAAAATGTCTATTTTTATAGAAATTCTTGGTGTTAAGTGAATTTAAGTCAATTATCCAGATATTCAGAGTTGCACAGAGTGATCCTTCTTGCTGCCGGCTGGCTTCAGGGGAGCTGCTAGTGTCCCTGAATGTCAGAGACCTAAGCCTAGCACGAATTCCTAATCACAGGAGTTTCGGTTTTGACCATACTTAATGCAAGCATATAAGAATTAAGAAAGGATTGATTGATTACTGTCTCATATTCCAAGGAAAGGGTTAGAAAATGCTTAAAAGGCTTTTAAAATTAGATGATGATGATGATGATGATGATGATGATGATGATGATGCAAGTCTGTGAGTGAGCGTAGGTGCGGGTACATGGGAGACAACCATTGGGGTGGGTAGCATTGTGCAGGCATTGCCTCTACCCATGAGCCATCTCAGCATCGCTATAGTCTTAAAGTGTACATTACTCATTCCAGGCCAGCCTAGAACACAGAGATGCGCTTGCCTCTGCTGCTCGAGTGCTGAGATTAAGGGCACGCACCACAATGTCTCAGCCAGCTTTCTTAAACAGGCCAGGATCACCTATCCAAGGGCAGTACTGCCCATAATGGGCTGGGCCCTCCCACTTCAATCAGCAACCAAGATAATTCACCATAGACACGGCTTACAGGGCAATCAGATCTGTGTCACCCTTCAGCTGAGATTCCCTCTTCTCAAGTGACATTATGTCATGTTGACAGTAAAAACTGGTACAGGGACATTTGAGCTGAAGCCTAAAGGAGTCAGCTTTGGTGAGGTCCAGTGGGCCAGTATTTTAAACTGAGGGATTCCCAGATCAAGGGTGTGGACCAGGAAACAGGGAGGAATATGGCTGAGTGAAAGGACCCAGGACTAGGGTGAGGGGTTCAGTTTGTCTTTGGAATACGAGAGAAGCCACGTCAGATTGTATGCTATTGCAGAAGTCACATGACCGCTGTGTGGAGGCTGCCCACGTGGGATTGCAGAGGCCACACAGTGCACCACATAGGGTGCCATGGATCGTACACGTTCCAGGCTGGCAAACCCGCTGTGACAAAGCCAACCGGTGGTGGCTGACTGCAAGCGAGCAGGTGTCCTGGGGGTCAAGAGATGTAGTGAGGAGGCGAGCAGGCCTGCTTTTCGTCCTGCCCGGCTCCCGCACGGCTAGCTTTATACCCGAAATAACAGCACAGAAATTGTATTCTTTTAAACACTGCTTAGCCCATTATATCTAGCCTCTCCTTGGCTAACTCTCATATCTTGCTTAACCCGTTTCTAATAATCTGTGTAGCACCACAAGGTGGTGTCTTACCGGGAAAGATTCAGCATGTCTGACCTGGCGGCTGGATTCATGGCATCTGCCTCACTTCCTCCCAGCCGCCTACCTAATTTTCTGATCTATCAAAAGGGCCAAGGCAGTTTCTTTATTAACCAGTGAAATCACCTCAAAACAGAAGACCCTCCCACATCAAAGAGAGTTCTCAGACTAGCTCAGCAATGTGGCTGCAGCCTCTGTCTCCACTAAGAGCCAAAGAGTGTTTGCTTGGAACGGTAAAGTGGCACAGAGTGGCTAAGACTCTCCTCCCGTTGGGAGGTGGTGGCCCACACCTTTAATCCCAGCACTCGAAGGCAGAGGCAGGCACATCTCTGTGAGTTCGAGGCCAGCCTGGTCTGCTGTTAGTTTTACTCTAGCCCCATGTTGAAACGCCAAAATGTAGTTGGTTGTTTTACTCTTTAGTCTTTGGTGACCCTCCACCCAGCTCCTAAATAAATCACACACAGAGTTTTATTCTTAATTGCTTCTGGGCTTTTTCTTCTCTTCTGTATATCTTACTTTCACTCTTACCCATGACTGGCTGGGTGGCTGGCCCCTAGTGTCCACTACTTCCTCCATTCTCCTTCTGTTCACACTTTCTGCCTGCTAGCCCTGCCTATCCTTTCTCCTGCCTCCCTGTTGGCCATTTAGCTCTTTATTAGATCATCAGGTGTTTTTGAAAAATATTTATTTATTTATCTATTATGTATATGATATAATGTCTGCGTGTATGCCTGCAGGCCAGAAGAGGGCACCAGACTTCATTACAGACTGTTGTGAGCCACCATGTGGTTGCTGGGAATTGAACTCAGGACCATTGGAAGAGCAGGCAATGCTCTTAACCACTGAGCCATCTCTCCAGCCCCCCCATCAGGTGTTTTAGACAGGCAAAGAATCACAGCTTCACAGAGTTAAACAAATGCAGCATAAACAAAAGCAACACATCTTTACATCATTAAACCAATGTTCCGCAGCATAAACACAAGTAACACACTTTAAAATAATATTCCCCAACACTGGTCTACAGAGCTATTTCCAGGACAGCCAAGGCTACACAAAGAAACCCTGTTTCGACCTCCCTCCCCAAAAGAATATATTATAAAATATATTTATTTATTGGGTCTGGAGAGATGGCTCAGTGGTTAAGAGCCCATATTCCCCTTTCAGAAGACCTGAGTTTGGCTCCCGTTCCAGGAGGCTTGCTGCCACTCTGTCTCCTGGGGATCTGAATCCTCTGGCCTCTGCAAGCCATGTGCAAGTGCACACACACCTTTAAAATAATAAAAATCATTTGAAAATGTTTATTTGTATGTGTGCTTGAGTGTATATATGTGCAGAAGCATATTAGGTCAGAAGAAGGCATTGGATTTCTTGAAACTGGAGTTACAGGCTGTTGTGAGACACCTGATCGGGTCCTGGGAGCCCCAAAACTTACTGCAAGAGCTGTAGGTGCTCTTTTAACTCCTGAGCTATCTCCAGGTCATAGGACAGCAATAACAACAACAAAACTGCTGAAGTTATTAAGAATTCTTGTCTAGCATATATGAAATCCTGGGTTCCAACCCCAGCCAACACAGACTCGATGTGAGCGGCTTGCCTGTAATCCCAGCACTGGGGTGGGAGGTTGAAGGCAGAAGGATCAGGAGTTCAAAGTCACCCTTAGCTACTTGAAGAGTTTGCAGCCTGCCTGAGATATGTGGGACCCTATCTCAAAAACAAACAAATTTAAAAAGTAGGTCTCTCAGCTGGGCGGTGGTGGCACACACCTTTAATCCCAGCACTCAGGAGGCAGAGGCAGGTGAATCACCATGAGTTTGAGGCCAGCCTGGTCTACAAGAGCTAGTTCCAAGACACGCTCCAAAGCTACAGAGAAAACCTGTCTCAAAAAACCAACCAACCAACCAACCAAACAAACAAAAAAGTAGGTCTCTCGTCCTCTGGTGCATAGCCACCCACACATATACATTAATTGGATTTAGCGGATCATCACCAAAAAGGACAAGCAATTGGAGGGGGAACATTTTTGGAATAATGTGGGAATTGGAAGGGAAAACGGGTTGAATATGATATTTTTGCTGTATACATATATGAAATTCTCAAAAATAAGGAAAATAAAGAAGTCCTCAGGGGTGGTGGTGCACACCTTTAATTTCAGCACTTTTAGGTAGAGGAAGGCTGATCTATGTATGCGGTCAGCTAGGGGACAGACCGGCTACAAAGACTCTGACTCAAAAAAACAAGTCTTCAAAAGGACCTGGCCATAGTGGGGCCCGAAAACAATCCTGGTACTGGAGAAGCTGAGGCAGGAGGGTTGCGAACTCACGGCCAGACTGAATTCCACAGGGAGATCCCATGCGAGGAAAAAAATTACACACCAATGAAATAAACTCTAAAAGTAGCGAAGGGTCCACCCGGTTAGGGTTCCCGCCTCCTGTGCACCGATTGGACGAGTCGTAGTGACGGACTGCCACAATCCTGATCGTTCATTGGTTATCTTGCGATGGGCGGTTCCCCGGGGCGGAACCGGAACCGGCTGCCGTGGTGGGCGGGGCGTGGCAGGTAGCTGTGGTGGCGGCTGAGCGGGTGGCCGCGGTGGCAGCGGTGCGGAGCCCCATGGTGCCGGTGCGCGGGCCGCGGCGGCTGAGCGAGGCGGCGCCGCCATGGGCTCCCTGTTCCGCAGCGAGAGCATGTGCCTGGCGCAGCTCTTCCTGCAGTCGGGCACGGCATACGAGTGTCTAAGCGCGCTGGGCGAGAAGGGCCTGGTGCAGTTCCGAGACGTGAGTGTCCCGCGGCCTGCGTGCCTGTGCAGCCCAGGGCTGGGCGCCGGCAAAGTCGGCTGACGTCGTGGGGACCCGGGCCGGGAGGTGGCTTTGCAGGCTGGCGAAGGAGGGCCCTTCTGAGGAGGTGGCTTTTGAGACGAGACCCGAACGGGGCAGGAGCTGTCAACGGGGAAAGAGGAGGGTCTCGGAGATGGCTTTGCAGAGTAATCAAGGACGACTCCGAGGAGGAGGTGGTCTTTGAGCTGCGATCTGAACGGAACAGGAGCTGGCAGTGGGAAGATGTGGAGGAGGACGGTACCCAGAGGTGGTTTTGCTGGGTAGTTAAGAAGGGGCCCTCTGAACAGGAATAGGTGGGATAAGAGAGGCTGGAAGAGCGATGGGGAAGTGTGACAAGTTGTGAGTCCCTAGGGAGAGAGCTTCTGAGTTTCAGACTCCTGTATGATGATGCGTTGGCATTGTTGACAAGTGACGAGGACCTGGGTCACAGTATGTGTGGAATGGAGGCTGTCTCTGCAACTGTAATAACACACTTGCCAACACAGCCACTGGCTTTTTTTCAACCTCCGTGCACTACCAACCTCCGAGGGTCAGGACCTTGACCAACTTGTTCTTTCCTCATTTCCCACGAGTGGCACGGGTCCTGGCATTTGTTGGCATTAATAAACAATGTTGGATGAATACATAAGCTTTTATGAAGTAACTTCTGGCCTTGGAGACTCTGAGCAAGGCAGATGAAGACCCTGTGCTCCTGAAGTTCTGTCTGGGAGGACGCTGGGTAAACGCTGATCATGAACTGTAAGTGTCACGGAGGAGGAGAACGGTACACAAAGGCTGCCAAACAGGCCCCGATACCTACACCAGTTTGGGCTTCTGGCCATTTCTCTGTCTCTTTCTGATGGGTCCATACTCCCATGATCTGATATGGGTGGCCCTTACATCATCATGAGGACTCCTGAGTGGCAGGCGAGGGCGCAGGCAAGGTGTGGTGCTCTTCCTGGGTCCCAGAGCCACTTGGCCTACAGTCCTTGGTCTTCGTACCTGACAGGTAGGGTGTGGTGCTGTGAGTGGCACCGGAAAGATGGAGGCAGCAGTCGCAAGGGAACCAGGCTTTTATATCAGGTCTAATTTGTTCCATCCTGTTAGGACTCGGGCCAAGGCACTTATCACGCTTCAATCTCCGGGGCCCAACAAGCCCTGTAATCAGCTCGGAGCTTCGGGTTCCACTGGGTGCCGTTACATGAGCTCCAGGCTGGACTCTGGATCCTTTTAAAGGGAGAGAAAGTGCAGCCGATCTTCGCAGGAAGGAAAGAAAATGAACGTGCTTTGCTGAGCCTTCAGGGCTGCTCCGTGTCAGGTGCCTGTAAGCTTGGGCATTGATGTTCGAGCTTGTGACGGGTCCCAGGCTCATTTATGGGGTGGGATCACCAACCCTTTTTGACTGACTCAGGCCTTTCTGCTTGTCACCCCCGGAGGGGTGGGGCAGCTGAAGGTTTTCCATAGCGACTGCAGTGGGGAGATCTGGACAAAGAGGGGCTGTGGCCCTGAAGAGCCAGGTGGGCTCAGTTCTGCCGTTACTGTGAGGACAGCTTCCTTCTTGGCCCTGTTGTTGCTGGGACTGGAAAGACAGTGAGTGCTGTTAGCTTTGCCTCCTCTGCCTGCTCTTCTGGGTTCAATGCCAGTCATATAGACAGGGTCTGGAGCTGGGCGTGCTGCTGCCACACTCTGGAGGCTGAGGCAGGAAGATGAAGAATTCAAGGCTAGCCTGGGCTCTATAGGGAGCTATCTCGATAAAATGAAAAAGGAGGGGGGGGGATGGCTCAGCAATTAAGAGCCCTTAGGGCTCTTGCAGAGGTCCAGAGTTCAGTTCCCAGCACCCATACCAGGAGGTTCACGGAGCCATCTGTAGCTCCAGCTCTTTTGGATTCCTCAGGCACCTACCTGTACTCATGAGCCCTCATCCTGACACACAGAAATAATAAATCGTAAACATCAAACAAAGGGGTCTGTTGGAATGCACTTCTACACCATTAGCTTTGAATTAAGGAACCTGCAGCCTTATGTTACATCCTCCCCCCCAAAATAAAACATGGTAGCCCATCCAATAGCACACAGCGGCTGTCTAAGCTGCTGCTGCTGCTGGTAGGTGTTTGTATCCTTGTGGCAGGGGCACACCTCTTCACACAAGAGCTGCTGTTGGGTTGAGAGTTAAGCCACTGTGGAAAGGAAATTGGCAAGTGGAGCGGCAGGCAGGGCTGGTCCCTGGCTCCAGGTTCCCGTTCTCAGTTCCACAGCAGCCACCGAGTCTGAGTCCTCTGGGTGGGCGTGACCTCCAGAAGTGAAAGGGCATGAGATAGAGAAGTGACCTCCAGTTTTGATCCTTCTGATTAATGCTTTAAAAGTGGTTGGGAATCCCCAGCGAGAGGGGAGCAGTTTCACACCAAGTCTAGTTGTGGAGCCCAGTGCAAATGCTGTATCCATACAGATGCAGCTTGTGCCCTAAATGCCTGTCCTTGTAAGTGACTATTAGAAAAGTAGGACATTGCTGGGCGTGGTGGTGCTGGTGGCGCACACCTCGGGAAGCAGAGGCAGGCACATCTGTGCGTGTGAGGCCAGCCTGACCTACAAAATGAGTTCCAGGACAACCAGGGTTACACAGAGAAACCCTAGTTAGAAAAAAATTTTAAAAAGAAAGAAAAGTAAGGTAGTGCCATTATTGTGGAGAATAAAGTTGCTGGACAGTGGTGGTGCACCCTAAAGGTGCACACCTTTAGTCCCAATACTCGGGAGGCAGAGACAGGCAGATCTCTGAGTTTGAGGCCAGCCTGTTCTACAGAGCTAGTTCTAGGAGTTCCAGGACTGGCTTCATAGCTACTGAGAAACCCTGTCTTGAAAAACAAAAAAAGAAAAAAAGTAATTACTGTGTGTGATTTAGAAAGAAGTTAACTTCTAACTCATTTTAATCTGCTTTATTTCTTTATTTACTTATTTATTTTGAGGCAGGATCTCGAGCTCCAGATATAGTTGGGGATGACCTTGAACTTCTGCTCCTCCTGCCCCCCCATGCTGAAATTACAGGGGTGTGCCACCGCACCCAGCTTTGTGTTTCTGTGCCTCTGGGTGCTGGGCGGACGCGCACCAACTGACCTAGTCCCCCACCAATTTCCTGTTGGTGAATGTTGGTGTAGATTTCCTCTGAGCTTAATATCCACATTCATGTTTTTTCTTTAAATCTATGTTTCTTTCTGGATTACTTCTGAGCCAAGGGCTATTATTCAGGCATTACTTGCTATCCAGGAAAGCTCCGTCAGTTCTCTGTCAGTGGCTGATGACGGTGGACTCCACCCAATCCTTTGACAGTAATATTTTCCCTCAACAGTCTGTTTTAGCTCAGTGGCAGAGTGTGACCCCTACACCAACACATTTTAAATGACTAGATAAATATAAACAAAATGTACTTTATCCAGTCCTGCATTTGATACCACCATCAAAAAATTTAAATAATTAGATTAATAAAAACAAATTTAGCCGGGTGCGGTGGTGGCACACGCCTTTAATCCCAGCACTCAGGAGGCAAAGGAAGGCAGATCTCTGTGAGTTCGAGACCAGCCTGGTCTACAAGAGCCAGTTCTAGGACAGGCTCCAAAGCTACAGAGAAACCCTGTCTTGAAAAAAAAAATTAAAATTTTATGAGCTTAAAACAAAATTTTCTTCCTTTTCTCAGCTCAACCAAAATGTAAGCTCTTTTCAAAGAAAATTTGTTGGCGAGGTGAAGAGGTGTGAAGAGCTGGAAAGAATATTGGGTAAGTTTGTCTTCCATTTTAATAATCCTAATACTTAGTTTAATATAAACTTATTTGTTTCTTTTAGAAAACTATAGACAAGCTGGGCGGTTTTGGCACACAACTTTAATCCCAGCACTCAGGAGGCAGAGGCAGGTGGATCTGTGAATTCAAGGCCAGCCTGGTCTACAGAACTAGTTCTAGGACAGCCAGGCTGTACAGAGAAACCCTGTCTTAAAAAAAAAAAAAAAAAAAAAAAAACAAGAAAGAAAGAAAAAGAAAAGGGAGGGGCAGGTTGTTCACTTTCCTGTAATTCATAGGTAGGTGCTGTTATGAGTGTTTATTTTTTCACTTGTTCCATAGACTGTAGAAGGAACTACAGTGATTGCTGCTGGCCTTGTCGCTCACGTAATGGTCCTTGCTGCGACATCCCTCTTGTTTAGTATAAACCGAGGCTCAGCATTTGATGGGAGCAGAGTAGTATTTCCTGATATTGATGTGCCATGGTTTAATCAACCAGTCCTGTATATATAGTTTTTTCTTATAAGTGAAAAACCTTATCTATCTATCTATCTATCTATCTATCTATCTATCTATCTATCTATCTATGTTAAGATATTACTTAATTTAAGACCTTATTTGGCAATAAGAAAGGCAGGAAATGGCTGATAGCTGCCCTGATACCACTTGTTGTCTTTGCAGGCTCCCTTTGTGACTGGGCTAGGTTGGTGCTCTCTGCTTAAGTGTTGGAACTCAGTAGCCCTCGGCATTCCCTTCACCTCTAAAACCTTCAAGAGTTACCCAAAGTAGTCTGGCTGCAGGAGAGTCTGACTTTTAGGATGATTTTTCTTGTTAAGAGATACTCCACTTTTTTTTTTCTTTAAAACTGTGTTTTTCAAGACAGGGTTTCTCTGTAGTTTTAGAGCTTGTGCTGGAACTCTCTCTGTAGTCCAGCCTGGCCTCGAACTCACAGAGATCCTCCTGCCTCTGCCTCCCGAGTGCTGGGTTTAAAGGTGTGAGCCCAGCAGGGATTGTATTTTTTTTTATTCATTGAAAATTTTCATACAGTTTTTTTTCTTCCTTTCTTTCTTTCCTTTTTTTTTTTTTTTTTTTTTGGTGAGTGGGGTGGATCAGAGTCTCATGTAGCCCAGGTTGGCCTCAAACTACTCAGTATGTGGTTGAGGCTGATCTTGAACCATTGATCCTCCTGCCTTTTTCTCTAAGTGTGCTTAGATGACAGGCCTGAGCCATAACACCCATCTATTTTTTTTTAAGATTTATTGTTATTAATTTGGCTTTTTGAGACAGGGCTTCTCTGTATAACAGCCCTGACTGCCCTGGAAATCACTTTGTAGATCAGGCTGACCTCAAACTCATAGTGATCTGTCTACCTCTGCCTCCCAAGTATTGGAATTAAAGGCATGTGTCACCATGTCCAACATATTCTTATTATTTTCAGTTATGTGTGTACATGAGTGCAGAATCCCTTGGAGGTCAGAGGTGTGCTGTATCCCTAGAGCTGGAATAGCAGGTGGTTGTGAGCTGCCTGCTGTGGGAGCTGGAAGAGCAGCCAGCGCTGCTGAGTGCAGAGCCATCTCTCCAGCCAACACTTGACAGGGTTTCTCTGTGTAACAGCCCTAACTATCCTGGAGCTAGCTCTTGTAGACCAGGCTGGCCTTGAGCTCACAGAGATCCTTCTACCTCTGCCTCCCAAATGTTGGGATTAAAGGCGTGCACTACCACCGCCTGACAACAGTAGACCTTTTTAAGTTAAGGGTTTTTTTTTGAACGCTTCACGGATTTGTGTGTCATCCTTGCGCAGGGGCCACGCTAATCTCTGTAATCGTTCAATTTTAGTATATGTGCCGCTGAAGCGAGCACAAGTTAAGGGTTTTTAATATTAACAATAACATATTTTTAAAAAGATTTATTATTTTTAATCATGCGTCAATGTGTGGGAATGTTCATATAAGTACAGTGCCCACGGAAGCCGGAAGATGGCGTCAGATCTTCTGGAACTGCCTAGCATGGCTGCTGGGAACCCCCTGGGTCCTCTGCAAGAGCGGTGCACTGAGCAGCCTCGCTAGCTCTAATGTAAAACTTTTTTGGTTTTTTCAAGACAGGGTTTCACTGGGGAGCCCTGGCTGTCGTGGATCTCTCTCTGTAGACCAGGTTGGCCTCTAACTCAGAGATCAGCTTACCTCTCTGCCTCCTGAATCCTGAGATTACAGATGTGTGCTATTATGTCCAACTTCTAGCCTTAATGTTGGCAGGAACTTCTGGTCATGTGAAATCTCTTGCTTAAGTTGCTAGTTATTTGCATACTGTTAGATTATGTGGTGGAGTGACATCAGAGTCCTCAAAGAGTCACTGGACAGGTCACTTGTGTGGAATGAGGCTTCCGAAAGCAGAGCAGAGAGCCACCTGGTTTCTTTCAGGGGAGCCTGGCTCTGCTCTGACTCAGGCTGCCAGGTTCTCTCTGAGGACCCTGTAGCAAATGCCAGCAGGCTGCCTCTGGTTGGGGTACAGGTCTGCACCTGCAGAGTGTTCCCAGTCTTCCAAAAACATGTTTCTTTTTTGTTATGTTTTGTTTTGTTTTCTGTTTTTTGATAGTTTCTCTATGTAGCCTTGGCTGTCCTGGAACTTACTCTGTAGACTAGACTAGCCTCAAACTCAAGAGATCTGCCTGCCTCTGCCTCCTGAGTGTTAGGGTTAAAGGTGTGCACCCAACTCCCAAATGTGTGGGTTGTTTTTTGTTTTTGTTTTTCCAAGGCAGGGTTTCTCTGTAGTTTTAGAGTTTGTCCTGGAACTCCGACTGTAGACCAAACTGGCCTCGAACTCACAGAGATCTTCCTGTCTCTGCCTCCCAAGTGCTGGGATTAAAGGTGTGTACCCCCACCACCCAGCCTTCCCTAGCATGTTTTAACCTGGGTTTTAGGAAGGAAAGGAGCTGGGGAGCTCTCGCCAGTGTGTGCCTGTCTCTCTGGAAGAAACTGCAGGAAGTGACGGGGACAGGCAGGATCTGCAGTCAGCAGGTTGGGGCTGCCAGGGTTCTGATTGCAGAGGTCACAGTGAGACTGTCTGACTGTGCATCTTTCTTTCACAGTGTACCTGGTGCAGGAAATTACCAGAGCTGATATTCCCCTGCCTGAGGGAGAAGCCAGTCCTCCTGCACCACCTCTTAAACATGTTCTAGAAATGCAGGTAACTTCTCCTGAAGACGCTGTCTTCAATAGTCCTGGGACTGCATAATTGCCTTCACAGTCCTCACCCTTCACCTCTCTTCCCAGAGCTGTGGCCTAAAGTAAGGAACAGTGGAGTCGCACACCCTTAGGGAACTGTAATGTGTTCTGTCTGACAGTAGAGGGCGTTGCTGGCGGGGGAGCTGAGGAGTAGCTGAGTTCCTGTTGAATCATGGCAGGTTTCAGGATACTCTCTGGGACTACCCATCATACAACATCTGTCCCTACACCAGTGCTGGGGGCTGCAGGCCTGGGCTTCATATCTTTCCCATCAGGCCTGAGTGCTTCCAGGTAGCTGGCATGTTGAGACTGAAGGATATGGCACCATTACCCCACCTCTCCAATGAATACTGGGTGGTGCCTAAGGCTGTAGACTATTTTATTTACTTACTTATTTATTTATTTATTTACTTACTTACTTACTTACTTACTTACTTACTTATTGAGGCAAGGTCCCAGTATGTAGCTCTGGCTGGCTTTGAACTTACTTTGTAGACCAGGCTGGCCTTGAACTCATAAAGCTCTGTCTCTCTGGCTTTGAGTGCCGGGATTAGAGGCCCGCACTAGCATGCCTTCCCTTCTAGACTTTTCTTGTTAGGGTTTGGCACTTAGAAAAAATATAGTGGCTCTTCATCACTCTTCTGAAATAATTGCCATGGTATTGCCGCAGCCCTTTGTGGCCGGCTGTTCTGTCTGTCTGCAGGAAGTAGCCAGCCACTTGGTGTCTGGGCTCACACCAAGCATGGCACCCTCCCAGCCACAGTGTCAGCCCTCTGGTTTGGCTGGATAGCCTGGTTATGACATCCTTATGGACACCAACGCTGCTGGTAGCTTAGCAGAGCACAGGGAGGAGGAGGAGGAGGAGGAGCAGGAAGGGTTGTTTTGAGTGAGTTGCATTGGCTCAGTGGTTTGTCTTACAAAGGCCGTGTCTGTGGTTTGAATATGTAAAGCAGGAGAAGGACGCTAGGTTGTAACCAAGGAAGCCTGCATCCTTAATTGTGTGGTGGGACCAAGCAGAGACTTCAAAGCTGGAGGCAGGGGAATGTTTAGAAAAGATGATCATATGTTGTTTCCATTGTAAACAAAAGAAATAAAGATTGTTGTGTGGGGTGGACAAGCAGCTGAAGGAAAGCTGGCAGCAGCAGATTCTGGGGGACATGTGTGGCCTTCAGGTGTCTGCAGGTGTTGTGGTTTGACCATGAACTAAACTGAGCTGGTGAACTTTGCAGCCGTACCCTGTCTGGCACATTTGCATTCTGGCTCTTTGCGGGCACTGTGGCCCTTTGAGCCTGGGTGACGGGGTGAGGAGGCTGCACCAGACTAAGCCTGCTTTCACCACAGCTGTGTTGTTGCAGGAGCAGCTGCAGAAGCTCGAGGTGGAGCTGAGAGAAGTCACCAAGAACAAGGAGAAGCTGAGGAAGAACCTGCTGGAGCTGGTGGAGTACACCCACATGCTGAGGATCACGAAGACCTTCGTCAGGCGGAACGTGGAAGTACGTGTGCCCACCCGCCCATCAGCGGGAGAAAGCACACCTGGCAGTCCCTGCTGTGCTCTCTTGTTAGTGCCCTTCCAGCTTTGGGTTTGAGGTAGTCTTGTGTGTCCCTCTGGCTGACTTGATACTGCTCCCGGTGCCTCCACTTCCCCGTCCTGGAAGTCAGGCTGGCTTTGTCACACTAGGCATGCACCCTGCCAGCTCTGGCTCTGCTCACATTGACGTCTTTGTTTTTGAGACCAGGTCTCACTACGTAGCCCAGGCTGGCCTTGAAGTTGGACTGATTCCCACCTCCGCCTTCTGAGCTCTGGCATTATAGGCAGGAGCTGCCGGGCTTGGTGTAGATGTGGTTTTGTTTCGTTTATTTGAAGTGAGACATCAGCCTCTGCTTTATTCTAGGCTGGATCGCACACTTCTTCCTGTGTTAGTGGTTTTAGCAGAGACGCTGCTTCCTCCCGTCAGAGGCTTTAGTTTTCAGTTCAGAAAAAGATTTTCTTTTTTCGGTTTCAAGACAGGGTTTTTCTGTGTAACAGCCCAAAGTATCCTAGAACTCACTTTGTAGACCACACTGGCTTTGAGCTCACTAATTCACCTGCCTCTGCCTCCCAAGTTGCTGGCCTGGCTTTTTTTTTTTTTTTTTTAACTGTTTTAAAGAAAACTTTAAAAATGTTTTAAATTTATTTGTTTTGTGTGTATTGATATTTTACCTGCACATATATCTGTGCACCACATGTGTGAGTTACAGAGGGCTGTGAGCGGCCACGTGGGTGCTGGGAATTCAACCCAGGCCTCTGGAAGAGCAGTCAGTGCTCCTAACCCTAAGCCATCTTTCTGGCTTCTACTTTATTTTATTATTTTATGTGTGTGGGTGTTTTGCCTGTTCACTAGGTGTGTAGATGGAGCCCCAATACCCTGGAGGAGGAGTTAGAAGCAGTTATGAACAGCAATGTGGGTGCTAGGAATCAAATCCAGGAATTCCGGAAGAGTAACAAGTACTCTTAACCATGAGCCATCTCTCCAGCCCCAAGCAATGTGTTTTATGGTCATGAGGAAAAATAATCTTGGTTTTTCCAAATGGCTGTGAGCAGAGGGGGCAGGAGGAACCCTCACCAGTGAAGACTGGTTCCCACAGGCATTGGAGGCTCTGGGCTGGGGCTTTTGTGTGGATGCCTGAGTGTCACCAGATGCTTAGAACATTGCATCTTAGTTACAGCCGCTCATCCTGCCCCACGCTGGGCTGGGCAGGGCATCGAGCCCTTCCCTTCTGAGGTTGCTCTTAATTGCCCTAGTTGTGACCCTAGATACAGTTATTGTCTCTTGAACCGAGGTCCACCCTCACTTAGAGCCACTCCCGTATGTGAATGTCTTCAAGCAGTTCACCTGACAAGCTTGATAGAGTGTTTCTCTCCTATGGGGAAGCTTGCCCGTCTTCATTGTCATTTGGACCTGATGCTCAGTGGTACCGTCCCTCTGTGGACTTATCTGGAAGCTTGTAAGGGTGGACTCTGTTAACGGTGTGCCTGCTTCCATGTCTTTACAGTTTGAACCCACTTATGAAGAGTTCCCCGCCTTAGAGAACGATTCTCTGTTGGATTACAGCTGCATGCAGAGGCTGGGTGCCAAGCTGGGGTAGGTGACAGTGTGCACTAAGCCCTTCCCGTAGAATAGGAGACATGGGCCATGGTGCGGGTGAATGGGCCATTATAGCCTGGGATTGGCCCAGAGTGAGCGTCTGTCAGAGAACACTGGGCTCCTGTACATTGGACTTAATCACACAGTGTTGACGTAGCTGGATGTCGCGGGGATTTCTTCTCTTGGTCTTTTGAGTTGGAAAGAAGCAGTGTCTGTGTTCCCCAGTGTTGACTCCTGTGAGCCTGCCATGACTGTGCCACAAGTCTGAGGACAGCTCACAGGAGTCAGTGCTCTGGGGTTGAACTCACTCGGGTTTGTTTGTTTATTTATTTATTTATTTCTCACTTGGGTTTTAAATTACGTTTCCAGTGACCGCTTCTGCCTCTGTTCTTTTCTTTCCTTTTGTTTGCTCCTCACCTTCATGCTCTTCTTAGACAAAGTGTCATGTAGCCCAGGCTGGCCTCAAACGCACTATGTAGATGAGGATGACCTTGAACTTCTGATTCTTTTGCTTCAGCCTCCCAGGTGCACAGGTGCAGGGATGGCAAGGTGTGTTTCATCTCTTCTTTATTTTAATTTTTATTTATTTATTTATTTATTTTTGTGAGACGGGTTTCTCTGTGAAACAGTCCTGGATATCTTGGAACTCACTTTGTAGACTAGTGCTCCACCTGCCTCTGTTTTCTGAGTGCTAGGATTAAAGGCATGCATCATCAGCACTTGGCAAATTTTACTTAATTCTTTTTAAACTCATTACTTTTTTAAAAATTTTACTTTATTTTTTAAATTTATGATTTTATTCTTTTAATTTTAAAGAAGTTTATGCATATGGTTGCTTTTGCTTGTTTGTATGCCTGGATACTAAGAATGTTCCTGAGGCTCACAGAGGCCAGAAGAGGGCATCAGATCCCCTGGAACTGAGTTATAGCCCCTCATGAGCCACCTCGGGGGTACTGGGAATTAAACCCAGGTCCTCTTCAGGAGCCAGTGCTCTTAACTACTGAGTTATCTCCTGTTGTGTTTTTTTTTTTTCTTTTTTTAACATTTACCTAGCGTGTATGTTTGGGATTGGTACATGCATGTCATGGTATGCACGTGTAGGTCAGAGGGCAACTTTCCGGAGCTGGCTCTCTTTCTACCACGTGGGGTGGGCATGACGGCAAGTACCCTCTCTCACTACGCAATCTTGCCAGCCCTCCTGTTCTCCTTTGTGGCTCTGGAGATGAGACCCAGAGCCTGGTACTGTCTAGGCAAGCTCTCTGGCACTGAATTACATCCCCAGCTACAGCTTTTTAAAAAATGATCTCATATTCCTGTGTTCCGTATTTGGGCATCAGAGAAGTTTGCTATGAGGATAACGTTCCTTTAGAGAGATTTCTCACATTCACAGGTAACTGGAGTCTTGTTAGCCCAAGCTCAGTTTTTATTCTTAGAACGGGGATTTTATTCTTAAAATGAGGACTTAAATTTTTTTCATTTAATTTTCGGAAGTGATATGAACTTATGCCAAACTCCTGGCTGAGTTCTGTGCTGTGGCTGTGTGTTCTGAGGACAGCATCTCCTGTGTCCAGACCCGCAGCTGATGTAAGCAAGTGGCTGCCAGGCTCCTTCCCCTCCAGATCTCTGCTTCTTGAAGGAGCAGACCTTTGGGCAGGCAGTCCTGGCTGTGGTGGGTTCTGCCCCCATCTCCTCACCTTGCCAGTGCCTGGTCTTATTGTCATCTTTCACACTGGCACGTCCAGGGTCTTCAGTGTGAAGAGCAGAGCAGCTGGATATCTGCTTTGGTCTTGAAATTCCAAGACCTTCCCCTCACTAGCGGCTCAGCTGTCCATGGAAAAGGCAGCTTCAGCAATGCTTTATCTAGCACGTGAGCATCTTGCCGCTTGATGACTCTTAGAGCAGCCTTGGCTGGCGGAGGCAGAGATCTCTCAGTCCTGAAGCCTGGCCCCTCACTGTCTCGCAGATTCGTGTCTGGCCTGATTCAGCAAGGCAAAGTGGAAGCATTTGAAAGAATGCTGTGGCGGGCCTGCAAAGGGTACACCATCGTGACCTATGCAGAGCTGGACGAGTCCCTGGAGGACCCCGAGACGGTGAGTGCCTGTCACAGGCAGAGCCCTGTTCCAGGCTGTGTGCACACTAGCGCTACAATTCTCCTAAGTCTGGGCTTCCAGACCCCACCTCAGAAAGTAGCAACTCCATGTCTAAGGTTCAGAGCAGAAGCCTCAGGATACCCGCCTTCTCCCCTACTTCACTCTATCCCCAGACTCAGAGACTGGACTCAGAAACAGGGAGTCTGGTTCATGCTGGTTCCCTTGCTCAGCCATTCTGGTTGGGATTTTGGCTGTACTTTTCTTGCCTCTAGGTGGCAGCAGCCCCCACCTTCACTCTTGCACCTGCCCCGCCTCCCCCTGGACTCCTCTCAGCCTGGTCAAGCTAGCCCTACCAGGGCTTCTCACTCTTCTTAGAATCTTCCCATGGCTTCCTGTTTACACAGCAGAAAGCCCTGTCTGTCCCCAGGCTCTGTTCTTCTGCGCCCTGTCTGGCCGTGTTCAGCTGGCCACCCCTCTCCAGTGTGCTTCTCTGTGTACTTTTCCTTTTGCGCCAGTCTTTCCCAGGTCCATGTAGCTCTCCCTCCCCTTCATGACAGTCATCTTTCCTGGGACCTTCTTTTCCCGCCTGCTTTTTATTTAAATTTATTAATTTACTATGTATACAGTGTTCTATCTACATGTATGCCTGCACGCCAGAAGGCATCAGATCTCCTTACAGATGGTTGTGAGCCACCATGTGGTTGTTGGGAATTGAACCCAGGACCTCTGGAAGAACAGGCAGTGCTCTTAACCTCTGAGCCATCTCTCCAGTCCTCCCATTTCTCATAGATGGCCACACACACCCTGCCTCACTGTCCCCCAGCCTGTTTTTTTCTGTAGGGTCCTCCACCATGTTGCCAGGCTGACCATAGCTCCCTTGGCTTACTGCTGTTAGCGTTGGCAGCTCAACAGTGACTGGCAAACAGGCACCTTGGGCTAGCTCTGTTCCCAGTGCTGGGGGCTGAGCCTGGCCCTGGTTCACAAGAGGTGAGTTCTGCACTTCCCAGCTCAGCTTCAGAGAATTCTGTTTCATTGACCATTGTAATGATGGCTGGTCCTCATTATTCACAGAATTATGTTGTTTGAAGTCACAAATTATGTAAATACTCAATTAGCAAATGTTATGGTGCTTCTCTGTTCCTGGGGCAGCGTGGGTTTGCTCCTCCGAAGTCTCTTCGTCACTTTTCATCAGCGAGCCACACCGGTCTTTACTTTGTGTTTCTCTTTGACTTCTTGTTTCCTGTGCATTGTTGACTTTGGGGAACTGTACTCTTAGCTGTTGGTGAGTGAGGCTGGTCCACACAGATTTCCAGAAGGCTGCTTGACTGGATTCTGGGTGTATATGTCCCTTGGTGGCCATCTTAAACAGCACCATCACCAACAAAAAGCACATACAGGGCCGTTGTGGCAGTGATGGAGGAGGGCGCTTGGTTACAATATAAAAGTTTACCTGGAAGGAGGCAGACCTCGGCCTTGTATGCCTACCCGCTTACTGGAGTGTGTGGCTCACAGATGCCTGTGAGCCGGCGTGCGTGCATGCTGCTTGGGGGTTACTGGTGAATGGGTGATGCAGTCCTGTTGCAGTCATGGGTTTGCTGCAGCCAGAGCCGCTGCACCGTCTGCCCCGATGGTGGACTTGGTCTGGGGGCTGAGGGCAGACTCACTGTCCTGTGTGTCTTGTAGGGTGAGGTCATCAAGTGGCACGTGTTCCTGATATCCTTCTGGGGAGAGCAGATCGGCCACAAGGTTAAGAAGATCTGTGATTGGTGAGGAAAGTTGTCTTTTCCTCTTTTCCAGTGCTGGGACAGGAATAGGCGCTCTCAGGCCAAGTGGGCCCTCTGCCCTGAGCTGCAGTGGGCCTCCAATTCTTCTGCTTATTCACTGCACCGAGGACTTGCCAGGTGCATGTTGCTTGGGCAGACTGTCAGCCTGACTCAGTCTGTGATCACCTGGGGAGAGTGTAGGTGTCAGATCCTCTGGAGGCGAAGCTACAGACAGTTGTGAGCCACAGTGTGGGTCCTGCGAACTGAACCCAGGTCCTCTGGAAGAACAGCTGGTGCCCTTAACCTCTGAGCCCTCTCTCCAGCCCCAGCTTGTGTCCTTGCAGCAGACACGTTTTAGTGTGACCGGGAAAGCCGCACCAGCTTAGTGAAGCCCCTTTGTTGCCTTTACCAGGCTACTCTCGGGAGAGGGCTGGTGGCTCCTGCGGAGAGAAAGGCATCGCTCAGCAGGCAGAGTAGGGCAACTGTGGTTTTAAGGCAGTGTGCTTCTGGCCTTTTCTGGATGTCTGAGGCCATGCTGCCTGTAGGACAGGTCAGGCCTCAGCCCACAGCTCAGCCTAAACAGTGTCAACCCTGAAACAATAGCCAACTCAGACTTATGATCCTCCTGCTTTTGCCTCTGTCTCCTGAGTACTGGATTACAGACTGTACAACCATTCTGGCATGTCTTCTAAGGTGTGCTTTCTGCCTCTTAGGTGGGTTTTTATTTTTATTTTTTTATTTTTTTTGCTTTACAGTTCATAGATTTTTTTAACTAATTAATTAATTGAAGATTTCTGTCTCTTCCCTGCCACCGCCTCCCATTTCCCTCCCCCTTCCCCAGTCAAGTCCCCCTCCCTCGTCAGCCCAAAGAGCAATCAGGGTTCCCTGCCCTGTGGGAAGTCCAAGGATAGGTGGTTTTTTTTTTTGTTTTGTTTTGTTTTGTTTTTCTTCTTCAAGAAAGGAGACAGGATTTCTCTGTGTAGTTCTGGTTTTCCTAGAATTTGCTCCGTAACCCAGGCTGACCTCGAACTCAGAGATCCACCTGCCTCTGTCCCCTGAGTGCTGGGACTAAAGGAAGGTGTGCGCCACTACTGTTTATCATTGTTGGTGGTTCTTAACCTCAGGATACTGGTGCATTTCAGGAAGGCAGGTGGGTTGATCTGAGGGCATTCATTTACCATAGCAGCCTGCTTGCAAGGCCTCCCTATATAGTGGACGGCCGTGGCTTTGCCGTCAGAGGGCGGCCCTGCCTGGTGCTGGAGGCTGTGTGCCTGGATTGAGCGGATCCTGGTGAATTCTGTCCTTAGTTACCACTGCCACGTCTACCCGTATCCAAACACGGCTGAGGAGCGCAGGGAGATTCAGGAGGGGCTCAATACTCGGATCCAAGACCTTTACACTGTGAGTAAGCTGGAGCTGGGAGCATGTGAGAGGCCTGGTAGCCGGTTGTGGGTGGTCACCATGTATTCCTGACATTGGGGTGTCTGTTTTGCGGTTACAAAGCCAGGAAAGGTGAAGGGACTTAGACAAGCCTTTGTGTCTCTTTGGTCTACTGGATTGTCCTTTGACCATGGAAGACAAGCTTGAATGCTGGGCATCGTCCCACCTGCTTGTTTAATTTGACTTTCTCTTGATGGTGCTGAGGAGTCTGGATAGCTATATCAGGATCAGATTTTCACACATGGAAACAGAAGGGAAATGGGAGTTGGTAGCTTCCAGGGCTGGGCCATCCTAGTGTAGGCGAGAGTCAAAGGGCTGTTTGGGTCAGTCAGGTCACCCTTCTGCCAGTGATAGAATGTCCGAGCTCTTACTGTGCCTTTGGGCTGGCAGTCTCTGACCATTCCTGGTATTACTGCCATGGGAGCAGGTACCCAGAATGCTCCTCCTCTGGAGGTCAGGCTGGTGGACAAGAACTTCCCCTACTCGGCCCCACAGGTGCTGCACAAAACGGAGGATTACCTGAGGCAGGTGCTGTGCAAGGCGGCCGAGTCAGTGTGCAGCCGGGTGGTGCAGGTGAGGAAGATGAAGGCCATCTACCACATGCTCAACATGTGCAGCGTCGACGTCACCAACAAGTGTCTCATAGCGGAGGTCTGGTGCCCCGAGGCGGACCTGCCAGGCTTGCGCAGAGCGCTGGAGGAAGGCTCGGTAAGGCTCGCATCCCACTGGCACCCCCAGACCCAGAGCACTCAAGGACAGGGTGTGTCACTGAATGCAGTACTGCAGGCTCGTGAGCCCCAGGGCTAGGGAGGCTGCGGCAGGAGGATGGAGAGCTTGAGGCCAGCCTGAGACATTGTTTCAAGCAAGACAGAAAAAGTTTCTGAGTGCTGGCCAGGGCCTGGTCAGACATTGTTTTCAGACAGGGTTTGAAGAGTGGCTCTCTGGCCCTGGAGAGATGGCTCAGTGGTTAAGAGCACTGACTGCTCTTCCAGAGGTGATGAGTTCAATTCCCAGCAACCACAAAGCAGCCTCACAACTGTCTGCAACTCCAGTTCCAGAGGACCTGTGTGACACCTTCACACAGATGCAACAACAATGCACAGAAAAAAATAAATGAATGAAGGAGTTAGTCTCTCTGGCATTGTGTGGGGGAACATTTCAAGCTGTGTTTCTGAGTAATAATGTACTGGTATGAACCACAAGAGAAGAAATAGCCGTGGAAGCTCTTCCTGCTGACCACAGCCTTTTCTGCCCCTCCCTCAGGGTCACCGCTACACTTCTGTCCCGCCTCCGTCACTGAACAACATTTGGCCAGATACGGCTAGGGCTAGGCAGCCTTTCTTTTTATTTTGCCTTTTAAAATGATTTATTTAGCTTTATTTTATGTGCATTGGTGTGAAGGTGTCAGATCCCCTGCAACTGGATCTTCAGACAGGTGTGAACTGCCATGTGGGTGCTGGGAATTGAACCCGGGTCCTCTGGAAGAGCAGTCAGTGCTCTTAACCACTGAGCCATCTCTCCAGCCCCCTGCCTTTTAAAATGAAACCCCTCTCTCTTTGTAATTTCTAAAGATCTGTGTTTGGCCTGTGGTCCCACTGGAAAGTCCAAAGTCCCACTGGAAAGTCCAAAAGGTGGTGGCTGGTGTGGCTGCTTGAAATCGCTCCCTCTAACCAGCAGATTGCGTGTTCTTCTTTCTGCTGAATAAAATCTCTTTTTATGGCCAGACTCTGTTGCAGAAACACACCTTGATTATTAGCTGAGTTCAGTCACAGGTACAAACACCACTGCGCAGAATAGCCTGTGACCTTTGAAACTTAACACCTGTCTGTCCGTCCCCCCCCCCCCG